GTTCACCGATCTAGGTGACGGTTTCTTGTACGGCTCGCTCACATACACATATTATTTCCTCATTATACGAGAATGAGCGTGGCGGGGATACGGGAAGTCGATGCCCGCTCAGATTAGGGCAATCGGTCCACACAACATAAGAGAGGTTGGTTGCGTATGTCTAATCAATTAGTTATTCGATCAAAATAACAAATAAACATCACGATATGCATTATGTTTCAACCATCGTGGAAACCAATCCAAAGTGTAAGTCCATGCAATCCGATTAGTCAAGAGAACGACCATTTTTCATTCGTGCGAATAGTTAAGCGTGCGTCATATTGATTATATTATATTGCGGTTTTATCCTCTTCATCGGGGTAACAACTCAATTGATACATGTGTATGAGAGATCACTCCTGCATTAACCATCAAATACAACAGAGCAGAGAGAGGGACGAAGAAAAATCGTTTGTTCCTGCTGGTCTCTTTAGACTCAACGATGCTTGTCCTCTCGAGATCTGATTGAATCCAATCAGACGAGCAGGATATGACCTCGGAAGTTGATAGGGATGAGGGAGTTATGAAAACATTCATGAAGAAAATATCATCAGAGAGAGAGAGAAAGAAGATGAGGTCGAAAGAGATAGTCTTTCTAAGACAGAAAATATCAGCAGAAAATATCAGCAGAAAATATCAGCAGAAAATATCAACAGAGAGAGTCATAGTTTGACCGAAGAAGGGGACTAAGACAAATAAGGAGTTATGAGCACACAGGTAGATCTGATAATTAAAATCGATGAATCGTCGTGAACTTAACTTTCAGTATAAGCAGAGGAGGAACTGACGATTGAAGGCGCACAAGCCTTCTGCTCTCTGACCATGGCTACGGGTCATGCAACCACTTGTACACACACATCTTTCTTACCCTGGTATTGGCGATCCTGACCGCCACATACCAACCTCACCGCACAACAATTGTCACCCCGCTAACTCAGCTTCTACACCGGCTTACCCAAATCCCGCATTTTGTTGCTGCCACCCGACACACAGCCTTGCAAAACTGCACTCAACTCGTCAGGACTTTTCGACTCGCCGTACATGCACATTATCTAGCCATGACTTCCCGAAAGATGGCAGATGAGTTGAGAGAGAGCTTTTCGGATGCGCATGCGGATTTTATAGTTGCGAAGATGACGATAGAAGATGAGTAGGAATGGGGTGGAGGTAGGAGGGGGCGAAGGGAAAGCTTGGGTAAATCACCCGAGGAAAGCCATATCGATCTCGCGGGTTCCTTCACAACCAATCGGATTACAACGTGAGGGGAGTATCCTCCTTACATGATGTCGCCTGATGGCTTGAGTACCCTGAAGGGGGGGAATAGGTTGGGAGTCCCCGAAGGCGGGAAGAAGGAGAGCGCGAACAGTAGTGCCGAGCGGAACCAAGATTCAAACGAAAAGGAGCGGGACAGGAGCGTGTAGGGAGAGGAGATGGAAATCAATTACAGATGGAGGAAAGAAGGCGCAAAGAAGAGAGAGGAAAAGATGGTGCAGGGATGGTAGGAAGCGAGGGAAGTTTGCATACATAGCGCCGATACAGAAAAGAAAAGGCACCAAAACAATAACATTTCACTCATCCTAGTTCTAACGCTAATTCAAGATTGAGAAATTCAAAAATTATATCCACGCACAAGACTGGCCGCGGCAAGAATCCTACGTCTATTCAGAATGTACTGAAAATCACAGAGCATTCAAGGGAAGATTTAGGTACATTCATTTGCAAGAAAGGATATGTCAGCGGGGAGCGCAGCTAGAAATTCCAGAATTCTCAACTTCCAATCAAATTTCCTAGCGCGCTTACAAAGTAGGATGGCCTCGTCGACTGTTGATCTCATGCATACCACCAACCAAAAAGAAGGATAACCCCCCCCCCCCCCCCCCCCCCCCCCCCCCCCCCCCCCCCCCCCCCCCCCCCCTCTCATCCCCCCCCCCTCTTCTCCTTTTTAAGCCCATTAGAGATCGAAAAGAACGAATAACAAAACGCAGGGCTTCGGAAGCTCGTTCAAGTATAGAAGCTGGTACGTCACCTTTTTGATACCGACATGCAAAGATTGAAATCCTTTTACTCCAGCGATTAAAAAAGGGTTGGATCTAGGGAAACAGAGAGCTCTATGATAGGGAGGGTATTCTCTGCAGTCCTATAGGTGAATGGAGCTTTGGGACGGACATATGGTAAAGACCACAGTCCAGGAACAGATGAAAAAAAATAAGTAGTGTCTGTCTTGTTGTATCTAAGGGATGCTAGACGCTGTTTCCAACAGGTGCTACTCCCCACGAATAGATGGAGCAGCCTGACATCATGGCAAAAAGTCCTCTAGATACGCCACTTCCGGCCAAAGATTAGTCCAAAAAGTCCTCTCTCTCCCTCCCCCCCCTCCCTCCTCCCTTGTCCCCTTCCCCCCCACACTAGGGCCTTTTATGACTCAATTGCCAAAATTTGATGGTTGGAGAGGATGTTACAGTGGAAGCATCCGAATGGTTACTCCAGAACTCCAAGCTATAGCAATCCAAGGAGGCCCAGGTAATATCTTCAGTAAGCCTTGAGCAAGTCAAGGTTCAGCAGAAGAAATCTTCCCAGGGGCCTGGGAGTCAACCTTTCAGATTATCATGCAAGCTGTTCCATTTAAACCACGGTACTTCCTAGAGTCGTGCGCGTTAACGCACCACAATTTTAGGAAACGTACGGTCTACTACAGGAGCGCCCAAATTTATCCGACTAGAAGCGTTTCTACTCTTTTTTTTCCCGCGGCCGATAGCTGGGCCAAGTACTGGTGGTTTAACGGGAAACGCCCGCGGCCGATGTATGGGCCAAGTACTGGTGGTTCAAGTCTCCACTTCCTACTGCATGCCCGTAAATGACAGGTTTCCCGCCTTGTCTTTTGTCAAAATAGATAAAGTATCTGGCCTGAAATCGTCCTCGGGGTCATTTTTTACCTCCGAAAATCTTTATTGCCCAACTTTCTGGCCCATTACCCCTACCACAGGTTCAGTGTTCCATCCATCTCACCTTTTTGTAACCCCATCGTCTTTAAGTCAGCTCAGTTGCGTTTATTACTCTTACCATACTTTTGTCCCCTCCTTGAGATCACTGAGTTGGGATCTTTGGTAGGGCAATTTTTTTTTTCTCAGTTGGAGGGTTTGAGAAAGGAAAATTTGAAACGAACTTTGTTGAAAAAAGAAGAAGGATTTGGGTCTGGCGCTGTGTGACCACGCAAGGCACCATTTTCGCAATTGCCAGAAAGTTCGGCTCGTGTCTTTTGTGATTTGCTGCCACTATGTGAGCGGGGGCCAAGTCCCACTACCGCATCAAAAGTTTTGGTTCCTTGCACTGCGCTGCGCAGTGCGACGGTTGGACGAGAAGGAAAAACAAAAGGAAAAAGAAAATTGTGTTTGGCATAGCGCGGCAGTTGGAGGGTGAGGGTCTTGGGCGGGTCGACTGAATGCCACCCCCAAAGCGCAATGACAGGAGATCAAGCCCTCTGCAAGAGCCGGCACAATCCTCCTCTGCTGCTCCGCACAAGTCAGTGAGGGGACATCATTTTCCTGTTGGGGTGACGGCCTGAGGTGCCTTGGTAGGATGGTGCCCTGGGCAGTCAATCCCCTTGCACGAGGGCAATCATGCTGGTATACTCAGTGACCTGCTGCTGTTCAATGCTAGAACGACGCTGGCCGGTGCTAAGGTTTTGCCCTGTGACCTGCTGATGCAGGAGCGTGAGGCCTGGTAGAGAGATCTGGGGATGCTTTGGGGTGGGCATTCCACGGGACAACTAAGGGTTGGTGCTGGGACGATGCTGGTCAGAGCTGGGGTGGGTTGTGTTGCCCTGTGACCCAGCAGGATGCGGGGGTGTGAGACCTGGAAGAGCTCGGCAGGGAGTAGGACAGTGTTGGAATGCTTTGGAAGGGTTTGTTAGGGATTTCAAGGGGGTTTGAGCATTTGTAAGACCTATGAAGTCTATTTCCATGTTTTTCGCATTGCTCAGACGTTTTCTCAAGAGACCGAGGTGAGTGGGAGAAGGAGAAGGTCGGATATTACGCATCCTACTAGTAAGGGGGCTAGCTGGTAGGACGGGAATAAAGTACAACAGCAGCGGAGATGGTGGCTCTGCTGCAGTAAGTCTTGTCGGAGTGGGGTACAGGGGATGGATTGGGGGTGTCTGAGTCTTTTTTGAATGGTGAAAAAAAGAGGTGAGTGGGAAAAGTAGATGGTGGGATATCAAGCGTCCTAATAGTGCGGGGGCTAGCTGGTACGATTGAAATAGGGTAAAGCAGCAACGGAGATGGTGGCTCTGCTGCAATAAGTCTTGCCGGAGTGAGGTAAAGAGGATTGATGGGCGGCTTGTCGTAATGATTTCCTAAGTAGCTCCAATTTTTCTTAGCCGTCAGCTACAGTGACACGTCAGCAGTGCCACGTCAACAACATGACGGGCCTGCCAGGCCAACTCGCCAATGAGCCCATTGCCGACTACAAAAAGCGCTTCCAGGCTCAGCTCGCTGTCATCGAGGTTGAGGAACAACGCCAGCTGGCAGCCAAGGCTGCCCAGCTACAGGCTGAAGAAGCGGCAACAGCAGAGAAGCTGCAACTACAGGCCGAAGCAGACACAGATGCCCAGGTTCGCCGCAAGGACGCCCAGGATCTGCTGCAGAGGCATGAAGCCAACAACATCGACAGACTCTAGTTCTGGCACTTTGAACCGAACGGCGACGAGGCAACACCGGAAGAGCAGCATAAGGAGTTCCTCTCCAAACTCGTGACACGGTTGTTATGTGCTTGCAACTACCAACGGTCCGAGTTAGAGAGACAGACCCAGGAACTGCAGCAACAGTACCAGGATCTGAACACACAGCACCAGGAGTTGGCGAAGCTCCGCCGGATGGTGCAGGGCCACGAGGATGCAACACGGGCACTCAATTTCCCGTGTACTGGACCTGGAACAGGCTGTACCAGGACCAAATTCTGGGGCTTCCAACAGTGCACCCTCTAGCCGCCAACTGGAGGAACGCGTTGACCACGTAGTGGCAATGCTAGGAGACATAAGTGCCTTTGCAGAGCCGGCCACCATCAGCCAGCGGTTCGAGTTGCTGGACACCAAGATCAGTCAGCAACAGCAGACTGACCACAGCCACAACAATAGCTCGGCGAGGCCATACAAGATGCCGAAGTTCCAGATCGAGAAATTTGATGACTACACACATCAAGACCCGGTCGTCTGGTGGCAAGGATTTACAACGGAGTTGGGGATTCACGAGGTCCCTGACCATCTGTTCATCAGTGCTCTGTTCATCAGTGCTTTGTTCATCAACACCAAGGGAGGATGTCTGATCTGGCTCAGCCACATGGCAACCATCCATGACGTCCAGGTTTCAGACCTGTACAAGAAGGTCTCCTGGGAGGATATGACAAAGGAATGGAAGAAGCGGTTCATCGTCGACGACGCCCCGACACTCGCCATCAACCGTATCTTCACGATGGCTCAAGGGAGCACACTGACACGTGACTGGCTCACGGATTGGCAAAAGATCGTGGCCACGCCCGATTTGGACTTGCCATTTCCGCATCTGCGCCGTGAGTTCTACAACAGGTCATGCGCCGCTTTCAGCCTCGCACTTGGTGATCGCGAGCAGTACAACACTTTCGCAGAGATCATCAACAAGGCGAGGGAGATCATCAAGACCAATAGGGCAGCTGCATAGGAGAAGTCAACGTGGCAACCAACCTATGTGGAGAAGGTAAGAACTGGTCCGCGACAGCAGCAGTTCACTGCAATCCAATCGGACAGTGGAGAAGACCCAGCAGCCACTCCAGCATCACGTGAGGGAGATCAGGTGGCTCCCGTCCAGCCGTGAAGCAACAGCAAACCCCAAGTGAACGGGAAGGCGAAATCAACATCGCCGGGCGGAAATGGACAGCCTGCACCACCATGGGTCAAGTTCGGCTTGACCGAACCCGAGTACAAGTACCGCGGCCGTTACGGCTGCTGCTACTGGTGCAACAGCACCAAGCACAAGACCTCTCTTCACCAGGATCAGGCCAAGGAGGATGTGCGGCCTCGGCTCAACTCGGAAAACTGAGTTTCGCGGGAGGTGAGGCGACTCCACCCCCCACTCCGCCAGATTCGGCCGCCTTGCTAGCGGCCTCCTACACATTTGGGGAGGATGCGAATGTCGCAAGTCCTCGGTACACTTACGAGGATTATGCTGTCCACTTGGTTCCACCGCAGGACCAACCGCTCCACGTGCAACAATCTACCGCATGCACGGTTTCATCACCATCGGTAACCGATTCGGCAGCTTCGCCGTCATCTACCGCCGGGGATTCAACGACATGGTCAAGTCTTGAAGAACTCGACCCGTTGACTTTTGAGGACTTCCAATGGATACCCCTGGCCCGGTCCGGTCGCTTGCCGAAACCGCACTGCAACGTGCTCAAGGCACAATTGCAAGATTACTTGCACACTGCAGTACCGACTCCGTTGATGGACGCCGGAGTAGAGGTTGTCGACCTTCACGCCTACATTGCGAAGATCGACCGCGAGTTCAAGACGCAACGGTACGACGACATCGACGCACTATTGCTATATGTACGCATTCAGATTGGAGAGGCGACCTGCAACGCTTTGATTGATTGCGGAGCATTTCGCAACTACATGAGTCAGGACTTCATGATACGCGCCGGCCTTGGTCCACGAGTCCGAAGGAAGTCCCAGCCCACACAAGTCACATTGGCGGACGGTCACACGCACAAGTCAATCGATCGGTGCATTGACGACGTCCCAATGTACTTTGCCCCTCACGCAAGTGAGGCGGTGTCCTTAAACATTCTGGACACCAATTCGACATGATCTTGGGCATGGCATGGCAGCGAAGCGAGGATCACCTGGTGAACTTCTACCGCCGCACCGTTCACATTCGTGATCGGAACGGAGTACTAGTCCCATGCACGGTAGCTCCTCCTCACCCTTCAGTCAGCTGTCACGTGGTATCTGCCGCAAGCATGCAAGCTTCCATCATCAGAGACGACATCGAGGAGATGGGGGTGTGTTTTCTCCACGCCTTCCCGCCCCAAGACGCGTCATCGGCGGACTCATCTTCGGATCCACGCATCACCGAACTTCTCGACGCCTACAGTGACGTGTTCGAAGGCGCGAGATCATCCTCGAGGACGGGGTCGTACCTCCACGCGAGTTGCATCTATCGAATGAGCGAGGAAGAGTTAAGTGTGCTTCGGGCACAACTCGACGACCTTCTGGAGAAAGGTTGGATTCGGCCCAGCTCATCGCCATACGGTGCCCCTGTTCTCTTCGTCCGGAAGAAGAACAAGGATTTGCGATTGTGCATCGATTATCGCAAGCTCAACGCGTAGACGATCAGAAACGCCGGCCCTCTCCCACGCATCGACGATCTTCTCGAGCGACTGGGCGGCGCCAAGTTCTTCTCCGAGCTGGACCTCAAGTCGGGATATCACCAACTCGAGATTCGGAAGGAGGATCGCTACAAGACCGCGTTTAAGACGTGATATGGGCATTTCGAATGGCTGGTCATGCCATTTGGCCTTACAAATGCCCCAACTACCTTCCAAGCGGCTATGGCAACGGAGTTCCGAAACATGCTGGATCGTTATGTACTTATCTACCTCGACGACATCCTGGTGTACAGCTGGAGTTTCGAGGAGTATGTGGAACACCTGCGCACCGTTTTGGAGCGGCTACGACAAGCCAAGTACAAAGCCAACCGCGACAAGTGCGAATTTGCGCGGCAGGAGCTGGAGTACTTGGGACATTATGTGACGCCGCA